CTTTACTGTCACGTGTTACCCTCGTAAAATAAAGTCTATTACAGTACATGAATACCGAAAGTGCATTGGATTTTTTTCTTATTTCACAGAGCATTTCCATTGCTAAAGATTCTGAAGCGTTAGTCAAAAGGGTATCACATTCGATRCTCTCACGMTTGACCGCAGGAGAAGAAACATTAATTGTCAAGACAAGTTTCTTGTCCCTGGTTCTTCGCAGAAATAAGACTACTGATGTTGGTAACTCACAAATATCTGAAGGAAACAGCACTTTTACCCTTCCATCAGCTGGAAGYATGTTTGGCGATAGGATAAGCAGTTTATCAACTGTTGATGCGCAGGTAGTCAATAAAATGYCAATAWGATGTGTCATTGCAGTCTCTTTTCTTGGAATTTTCYGGAAATCATTTGATTTTGTATTATATATTTATCTTATTGTAATATTGTTTCAGATGGTGCGAACAYCTAATAATCCGTACACGTGGGATGTGACAAGTACACGTGTTTCATCGTCCGTCATTAGTCTTTCTCTCATGGATAAAGCTGGGAGTGACATCAATATCAAAAATCTGCCTTCTCCCATCGTGATGACAATCCCTCGTGACATCGATTCCGACAAGACTCCACCAAAAGAACAGACTTTCTTGAAACCAMGTTYTGGAGACAMGATGCAGTAYAGACGATTAAGCGTTGATATTCCTGGTTCTKCTCTMCATATGAATATTGGATTAGATTCAAAGGGAGTCTCAGTTAGTGTGTTTGTAAAACTAGGAGAAAGACCAACAAACTTCAGTTATGATTTCAAGGGCCAGGTGCCTGATTTATCAGCACGTGACCCTTACGTCATAAATATTCCAGGATCTGTGTTCAGCAKCAAAGGAGTTTACCTCGTAGGACTGGTTTATCAAGAAAGTGTAGTTACTCAAAGACGTGTMAGGAGGTCTTGTGAGGGACATGGAAGACAAAAACGATCMTGCGTAGAAATTCGAGATCCTCCCACCACCCATCCCCCACAGAATATCACTATAAAGCCTGTATATGATCCTAACCGYGATTTGAATGTATCGATMAGTACATCCATGTCCAGTTGTCTATATTGGTCAAAATCACTTCAAAAATGGACATCTGAAGGTTGTCAGGTGATTGTTGTTATATGTATTTTGCTAGTATATTGTGAAGTTTTGAGGATCAATCGCCTAAATGTAATCTAGCAAACTTTATGATATTTAAACTTCCTGGAAAGACTTTTGAATAAATAATCAGGCTCAGAGTGGCTATACACATRTAAAAAATGTCATCTACCTAGATTTCATTACGCACGCGCGTTGGCGGGAAAGGTATGCAAACCACTTGATTAGGAAGGGTTCTTGTTGTATCTCCATTTCAATCTCAGGCTGCCAACGAGTCCACCTCGTCAAGTCTCAAATGTCTCTGCACCCATCTGACGTCATTTGGAGGTGACTTTCTTGTGGCACCAAATCCCATCGACTTTGACGTGGTCTTCCTGGCCTTCAGTCAACTGGACAAAACCAAAAACTTCGGTGTCATTGGTTTCGTAGTGGCAATTTTATTGCTGTACTTTATTGTTGTGTTGTTGTGTAGGCGAGCTGATAAGCAGGACCAAGGCAAGGTAATACTGTTAGTCTGTTCAATTGTTAAATACCATATTGTCAAAGGTGAATTATATGGGACGGCAATGGATACATTTTATATTGGAAAGCAAAAGGAAAGCAACATGCATGCACTGTCCTGTCCTGTCCTGTTTTGAAAACCGGGGTGAAATCTGCATTCAGAGTCTTCTATCATAAAATGTATTTGAATTTTTTGTAAAATTAATAAATTCTAATAAATTTTAACAGCATGGTCGCCAACTGATTGATTACATAGTAAATKTCTTATTGTAGGTTGGACCCAAATTTGAAATTCATCATCATAAACCCGGTAACAGCGCATCCTACGAAGTTGCCGTACATACAGGACTATGGTACCAAAGTGGAACGACGTCSAACGTTGCGATGATTATCACTGGAACAGAGAACCAAAGCGATGTCATCTCAATATATCAACATGAYTACCAAGAAAGACGTCTGTTTGGACGAGGAAACATTGACAAGTTTATTATTCATACTCCTTTGTCACTAGGACAATTGCTGTATGTTCGTATCTGGCATGATTACTCAGGRGAWAATCCATCTTGGTTCCTTAAYGGGCTACAAATAACAGATTTAAATAGCATRWGCAAATGGGAATTTCCATRTGACCGCTGGTTGGATGTACTCAGGGATGACGGCGCACTTGAAAGAACTTTGCAAAGTCAAMCTCACACATTTGAARGAAAGAAATCAATAAAAGAYAAAACAACACGTAGCTTTGTCGAAGARCAYCTTTGGGTATCTGTATTTGCAAGGAGTCCAATGAACTATTTTACTCGAGTACAGCGTGCTACATGCTGTCTCTCTCTGCTCTTTTCCGCCATGATTGTAAATGCCATGTTCTACACTATCGGTGGTAAGACGGAGAAAACCTTCARCATCGGYCCACTTCAGTTCAGCTTGAGACAGATCATCATAGGGATCGAGAGCAGTCTTATYGTTGCTCCAATAAACTTAATCATTGTGCAGCTTTTTAAAATTGCAAGTAAACAACGACAAAAAGAAGAATTAGAACTAGATCCTTTTGACGACAACTTATTGCTCARACGGAAAAGGTCAAGTCATGACCAGCTCTTGGCAAAACCCAAAAAGCCGTCAAGGTTGTCGCATTTTATTAAGGCAACTGCGCATATCCTTTCGTTTCTCTGTGTTGTCGCATCTGCAACATTCACCATCTTCTACAGCATGCAGTGGGGTACTGACATTAGCAATCAATGGCTAACATCAATGATCGTGTCATTAGTCCAGGACCTTTTCGTTATACAACCTGCAAAAATAATCATCATCGCGGTTATTGTTACGTTATTTGCAGAAAACCTCGTCGAAGCCAAAAAAACTAAACGCTTAAYCATGAATTCCAACACATCTGTGCATGATTGTACTAAACTTTATAAAACGGATCAAGTCTCAATAAGCGATGATGGCGGAATTAAGCCTCTTTCAGAAGAGAAGAAAAAGGAACATAAAGATGTTATGAAGAAGGAAAAGAGATTGATCAGCACAGCTAAAGAGATCGCTTTGTACTTGGTGTTCCTTATACTAATGTGTCTCGTGTGTTATGGATCTCGTACAAAATATGGTTTTCTGATGAACARMGCCCTTAAAGRAAACTTCGCTGAGTTTGATCAGGTAGKTGAAACAAATCCTTATTCATCATATATAAATGAATTTRTYGATACGATRKCACCTGTATAGTGATTTATATTGTACATATTTAGGTAACGGACGACAACTCATTTTACGAGTGGCTTGGAAGTACACTTGTTCCTGGATTATTCGGAACAWTTTGGTACAATGGGCAGGAAGTAGCAAATAAGGCATACATCAACGATAAACGATCCATACTACTTGGGATGCCTCGTATGAGACAGATACGTGTCCAGGAAGGTCAGTGACAAAAGTATTTTTTGGTATATCAATCAAATGGATACGATGGTATTCAATTTTTGCCTCTTTTCCAGGGCATTGCACCATTCCAAAAATCTTCCAATCAACCATTTCACGTTGCGTGACTTCCTACTCAATGGACAGAGAATATACAACTAAACTAAATTATCCAGAGTGGAAAAGAATAGCACCTGCAAGCTACGTTAACCAAACACTAACTCCTGAGACATGTCCAAAGCCTTGGAAATATCACACCTCTGACGAAATTACATCCCTACCCTACTGGGGTTTACAGAGTCTTTACGGTGGGGGAGGATATGTGGCACATCTTGGATATCAATCAAATACAGCTTCACGTGTAGTTAATGAACTTACTACTTCAAAGTGGTTGGATCCACGATCCAGTGCTGTCCTGATTGTGTTCAGCGTCTTCAATGTCAACACCGAGTACGCAARTTTCTTGAGCTTTTTATATGAAAAAATGTCAACTGGAGCTGGTTTAGCCTCGTATAAGATCCATTCSATACCACTTTACTCAAACACTGTGTCATTCCTGGTGTTTCAGCTTCTATTTCTGGTGTTTGCTTTGTTCTATTTCGTATTGGTGTGCGTTAGACTGGTCAAATTGAAATGTACTTTCTGTAAAGACGTATGGAATTGTATTGATATAATTCTAGTTGTTCTCAGTGTAGGGACAGTCGTTTTACAGGTCATCCGAGGAATTTACACATCTGACGTCATACGGCAAATTCAAGCCAACCCTTACAGTGATCTCAGCTTCGACTACGTCGTCATGGTAATCGATATTGAAGACAGCATTTTAGCATTATTGGTGTTTGTCTCGACGTTGAAATTACTCAAACTCATCAAACTCGACCTCCGAATAGTGTTGATATCCTCTACGATAGGAGTGTCATTTAAAGATTTGGCGCCTTTCTCAGTGATTTTTACATTGCTTCTTTTTGCATATGCATTGCTTGGCATCCTGCTATTCGGTAGTGCAGAGGTTGCATTTTCAAACATATATAATGCATTGTGCACCATTTTGCAGATATTTGTCGGTGGGATGCCYAATCTTTGGGTTCTAATTGAACAGAATCGCGTCTTGGCTCCTCTATATATGATATCCTTCTTCATGTCGATGGTGTTCATATTGGTGAATATATTTGTTGCAATACTCTATGAGTCTCAGGTAAACCAGCAAAAGAGACTGGAATTGTTGAAAGAGGAATTGGACTTCCTGGAASTTTTGCAGAAAAAAATTAGATCTTTTTTTAGSWTAAAAAACTCAAAGATTAMTGATGTGTCAAACAGAAACCTGGCGTATGGTTGGTATCCTAGTAACGAWCGAARCGACRATGATTACACCATAAGGAAAGAAAATAACAATAAACATATACTATCAAACAATAAGAAGAAAAGCGTACAATTTGACAAAAATACATTATCTTTGAATAAGGGCGTGGATTGGTGCGAAGACTCCACTTTACAAGTACATAAACGGCTCAAGAAAATGACGATTTTATTAACTTTGATTGAAATAGAATCAAAAGATGAAGATGTCCAAATAGCACGAATGCTTCTGCATTTAGAGAGCAATCGACGCTTTCCTACGYCAAATACGACAAGTAGAACAACATTTGATCATTCAAAATCAGTTGGCCGGCCATCCTCTACCCGCAAAAGAAAAGTGAGCGCAATAACATTATCAAATCTTGTTTTTTCAGAAGAATCCGAAGATGGYCTTARGTTAGTTTCTCCTCGTCGTTTCTCTCAAGTGTCTAAAAATGGTCGAGTCAAACAAGTAAGCAATACACGACGGAAAAGCTCGAGCGTGAATAAATTTGTTAACTCCTTACAAGGAATTCAGGAGAACATTTGCCCGTAAAATAATTGCTTGATTGCAAAAACATTTCAATTGCAATAAAAACTCGAAACTTGATTGGATTTTTGTATTTTCTGTGAATTGGGCGATGGATGGTAGTGTTTATAATTCCTTTCGGCGAGACGTCGGWAAGAAACAGTTTCCAACGCGATAAAAAACGACCACCGTTACCAGTAGCTACATAAGTTGCTACATAACGGCCTCTTCAACAATTTCTGCTCTAACCTATCATTTTTGAGAATTCTACAGAATATATCAAAAATAAACCAGAATTRTAATAGGTATTTTTTAATTGTCAAAATTACTAAGTACTTAGTAATTTTGACAATTAAAAAATATGTAGTACTAATTAATACTGATGAATGCGGCGGAAGATGCATAGTCAGTAATCTACAGAAAGTTGATGGATAAAAGAGAATAAGAGGTTAGGAAAATATATCCTGCTAGATTATTGAACATCTATAGATTATAGTACCTATTTCCGATTGTCTGGGAACTAAGCCTTTGCTATTTTAGTATCAAGGAATACATCGCATATTAGTATGTCTGAAAATAGAGAATACGAAGTATATTGCTCTTAGGACTATAGAAAAACTTCTAGGA